ATTCCTTAGCATTGACAGGGCTCTCAAGTGTTAGCTTTATGTCCTTTTTAGGTAATGTACTGAGATACTTTATTTAACATAGTATATGTCATTGCTTCCCAAATGATTGCATCAGTGACTTTAAAATTAGGTGGAGTTTGAACTTAGCATGTTTAAAATGCACACATCAGCTTGATCACGTGACAAAGCATTAGGCGATGTGGTGGATGTTCTTGAGAGCGCGTCTTAGAGCTGTTCAGGCAGCCTTGTGACTTAAATGATAAGATTCAAGGCTTGATTCCTTTGAAGCGATCAAAATTACTCATTTCCTCTCCACCCTCCTAGTTACTGCTGGTGATGGTGGAGGCTTTGTTCTGTTGTGCCAGGTAGTCCTGCAGTATGAGGTTCTGTGATGGTCTTTTGTTGCTTGAACCAGAGTACCATATGTTTGGATTCCTTAAACGGGTCTTATTTTTTGCTCATAAACTTTCAGATTTCAGGACTTCAGCCAGCTGACCAGGCCCTGCTACAGTTCCCATCAGGCCTCTAGACAACTATTGTGCATGCAAAACGTATGAGCATTTGGGAGCCATCAGATTTACTGCACATGTGCAGGCCACGTGGACAGCACAAGTGCAGCAAGCCCTATGTTGCTCAGACATGTCACACTGGCTACACAGGGTGTGTGCATGCATAACTGCCCAGGAAGTCCCTGACAAGAAATACGGTGACATTGTGCATACCACACCATGCAGTGTCTTGAAATTAAGTCTAAAACACTTGTTGTGCTTGCATGTTTTGTGAAGAAGATGTTGGAAGTTCAAAATTATCTAGAGAAGTGTTTTTCTTTCACTTACCTCTCCCCAAGCAGCTGCCATGTTCTTCTGTTTTTGTCCACCCTGCCTTTCTGCTGCTCCCAGAACTCGGCTCTCTTCTAGACTGTAAGTGGTATTAAGCATACTGTTGCAAGGTGGAGGTAGTGGCGGAATCGGTGAGGATATTGATGGCAGGTTCAAGAGAGAAGGCAGCTAAGGAACAGCTTAGGTGACAGCAAGGCTTGAATGTAAATATACTCTGAACATCTGTTTAGTAAATGTTCTTCCATACTAAGAGAAAAAAGCAAAACTACTTTTTTTCTTCCTTGAAAACAAATAGATTAAATAAAAATATTTATGTATTAAATAGTCAGTTTCCAGACTGATGCAAAGATGTTCTAAATGCAGTGAACTACTCATTTTCTAAGAGAAATGGCTCTATTTCTTATTGCAGAAGCAGCTGGCAAGACTTAAATCCGTGCTGAGTAGACAGCACACCTTTGATAATAATCTTGTTTGTAAGGAGTTTTACATATATGGAAATGTTGGTAGTTTCTAATACTTCAGGAAATAGCATGGATAAAAACTGTCCAGCTTTAGATAGCTTCATAAAAATAACTTGTTTAAATTCATAAATACAAATAAGAAACACTTTATAGATTCAGATTATTCCATAATCTGTTGTTTTGTGCAGTTTTGTGTAACACATGCTGTGCTGACCTCTGCCAGCTCCACACTAAGAGATGAATAGTGACTCGTTTGCCAGCTCCTAGCAAGTGCCAGGAGCCAGAAGCCATAGTAGATGTGCAAAGGAAAAACAGCAGAGTCAACGCTCTGCTCCACTGTGGCATGTCTTGAGAATATGTGACCACCTCCTTTTAAGAGCTGTTTTAACTGGAATGTAGGAAAGCATGCCTCTTAGTTTTTATAATTAAATGTATTTCAAGGATGGGCTTCACTTTCGGTTCATCTATTTTTCTGCCATTTTGTCTGGTTCACTTGTCCTTTTCAGGGAAATTTTGTTGTGAGGGATTAGCAGCGAAGCATGGAATATGCTGATTGCCATGGATGACAGTGTTGAAGAGGTTTTAGGGAGTTTTTTCAGCATTTCTTAGAATTTGAAGTTCATCATAGCTAAACATTAGTAACTTTAAAAAAAAAAATACCATCAGGCTATGACATTTGCATTACCTGTAATCATATTTACTTAGTATCCAACAGCTCCTGTACTTCCATCCTGAGGTGAGGGGTGCGTGCCTCCCCATATGGCCATCTTTGTAGCTGGGAAGATGCTTGCTAGTAAACTAGAACAGGGGAAAAAAAAAAATCTTTCTTTGGAATCATGTTGCCTGGCTGCCAAGGAAAGTTAGGTTCCAACAAAAGTGTTTTCACTACTTGAATGAGCTAAGGATGTATACCTTCAGTCTGTGTGGAGGAGACTTCAGAGCTTTCAGACTACTTTGTCTTCCTAAGCAGTGTAATTTCTGTCTTGTCTGGTCTGAACCAGCTGTTCCTTGTTCAAGAGCTGATCTCTTGTAGACTAACACTTGATTGAGGGTGCTTGCCTCAGAATAGATAGCGATGAGTGTCGATGACATGCTTGGAGCTGTCTGTGCTTTTGCCCTCTCAAGAGGGTAAAGGAGAGGGATGTGGTTCAAGCTCCTGTAGTTATCATTGCTGCTTTGGGTACTGTAAGGCTGGAGAGGGGTTTGTTGTGGCTTTGCCCCTTACGTCATCTGTTAATGCTGGAGGTTAAAGTGATCTTCCTCTGCCTTTTGCTCCGGGAAAAGAGAGGTTCATTTGGGGACCCAGACAGAATTACACACAACTACCCAAACTTTTGGTTTCTGTAGATTTGGGAAAGGTGGGAGAATAGTATTTTCTAATCTTTTCTGAAGCAGCATAAAGCAGCCACTTAAAGGGGTGACAGCTGAGTCCCTCTGTGCATTTTCAAACCTTGTGTCATTTGTCACCGAGCCTTCTCACATTGGATACTGCTATATAAGGACCACTTAACTGAGCTTTGAGTCTAGTCGTGTAAGTGGTTCAATCTTAAGGCTTGATCAAAATGGTTTCTACATAAAAATGAAATTTCTCATGTAAATAATTCACTATAAAATGAGACAATCGCTTTATTGCTTTTTCAGACAAAGACCAGGAGAGGTCAAGGTTAGCTTGTGGTCTTGCACGTGCTCTTTGGCAAATTTCTCTTCACAGGGAAATGCTCTACGGTGTCAAGTCTTTGCTTGTTAGGGAGAGCAGTAGGCAAGTAGCTGCTTTGCTGGCTATAAAGGGGGCCATTTCACCGGTTTGGCCAAAAACAACTATCAAGGTGGACTGGAATGCCTTGGGTAATTACAAATTTCAGTAATCAAAACATGAAGCAAACACTGCCAGAAATGAACACGTATTTAAGATGTGCTACTGCACACTGGAATGCCATGTCTATGTCTTATGGTGAACATCTTACAGTGGTGGTGTGTGGTTTTTTTTTTTTCCTACAAGCCCTTCACTTAAAATACTAAATTTTTATGTTTGTAGCAAAAGCTGAGAACACAGTTTGAGCACAACTTGAGAACTTGAGTCCTGATGTGACTTAGCCTTGTCAAATCTTTGGAGGGGTTGTGAGGGTTTCATGGTAATGCTGGCTATGATCATTGTTGAATTGTGAAAAGGAAAACTTTTTTCTACCCACAGGAACAAAGCCTGGACTCTGTAGTCACGGACCAAGAGTTTGTGATGTAGATGAAGAACAGATTATCTGTGTTCATGCATAAGCATGCTTTTTGAAGTATTTTTAAGTGTGCAAAATAAGGAACTAGGTATTTTGAAACAGGTTGTCATGACGTGCATATACCAGCTTTATTTTGGGTTAGGAGGTCACTGTACGTGTCCGGTACTACAGGGAGAACCTTCCTGTTAATGGGCCAAGACTTGCCTTAAAAAAATGCCGCCCTGTGTATCTCCCAGGACTCGCAATTTTCCAAGTAATCTCTAAACGCTATCAAATTTTCAGGGCGTGCTGCATTTTTTTGGTGCCTCGAGCTCGAAGCGCAGCAACGACACCGGCGAGGCTCAGAGGCGGGGAGGCGCTCGGGGTGGCCGGAGCCCCCCGCGTCCGGGGCTCGGCCGGGGAAGGTGAGCGAGGCCGCTCCGTCCTTCCCCCGCAGGAAGGAGCCCGGCCCCGGCGGCCGTCTCCTCCTTCCGCCGCCAGAGGGTACTCGGGGAGTGGAAACGGGGGAGACAAAAGGAGGTGAATTCCCCTCAGAGGGGAAACTTGAGACCCCTCCACGCAGCGCCGGAGCGCCGGGCGGCGGTTCCCGTGCTGCAGCCCGCACATTCCTTTCCGAAACCCGAACCGGGGGAGGGGGCGGGCTCGCCCCG